GTTTTGGAACCAGGGATTAAACTCATGACCTCCTGCTTGCCAAGCAGGTACTGTGCCACTGAGCTATATCCTCAGCCCTTGAGACTTTTAGACTTAATAACCAAATTTAGTAACATAGCTGGATACAAAGTCATCACTCAAAACTCAATAACTTCCCTGCACACAAATAAACAATCTCACTGAGCGAGAAATTAAGGAAGCAACACCTTTCACAATAGCATCCAAACAAAGTAAATACCTAGGAATCAATCTAACAAAGGAAGTAAAAGATTACATTGAAAATTACAATACTCTGAAAAAAGGAGATAGAAGAGGATATCAGACAATGGAAAGATTGTCCATTGTTCTCGGGTAGAAAGAATCAATATAGTGAAAATGGCCATTTTTCTAAAACTGTTACATAAAAGTTTAATGTAATACCACTCAAACTGTCTATAGCATATGTCACAGAATTAGAGAAAACAATCCTAAAATTCATTTGGAAGAACAAAGACAATTCTGAGCAACAAAGACAAGGCAGGAGGCAATCCAACTCCAGACTTGAAATTACACTACAAAGCTACTGTGATAAAAACAGCATGGGTACTGGCAAAACAAAACAAAACAAAAACCAAACCCCAGGATCAATGGAACAGATTAGAAGATGCAGAAACAATTCCAGACATACTCAGCCATCTTATCTTTGACAAAGGTGCCAAACACCTTCACTGGAAGAAAAAAGTCTCTTTAATCAATGATGCTGAAAAACTGGCTTTGCACAACACCAAAGATTAAAATTGGACCCATATCTTTCACCATGTACTAAACGAAAGTTGAAATGGATCAAAGATCTAAATATTAAAATAGAAACGTGGGGCTAGGGATTTAGCTCAGCGGCATAAGCGCCTGCCTTGCAAGCAGGGAGTCGTGAGTTCGATCCTGGTACCGATAAAAAGGAAAAAGACAAAAAAAAAAAAAAAAAAATAGAAACGTTAAATCTACTGGAAGATAAAATAAGTAGAACTCTTGAAAATATTGGTATAGGCTGACTTTATGAACAAAACTCCGATCACACAGGTACTATCACAAAGAATCAACAACTGGGATCTCATCTTATTAAAAAGCTTTTGCACAGCAAAAAAACAAAACAAAACAAACTATAAAACTCCCAACAGAGTGAAGAGACAATCGACAGTCTGGGGGGAAAAATGTTTGCCAGCAGCTCTTCAGATAAAAGAATACTATCGAGAACACATAAAGAACTAAAAAATCAGAACCCCTCCTCAAATTTAAAGGCTGGATCCAAAAATAGGCATCTGAGATGAATACACACTTCTTAGATGAAGAAATACAAACAGCAAATAAATATATGAAAAAAGGTTCAACAGCACTGGTTAATAACAAACGCTGGTAAGGCTGTGAGGAAAAAGGAACACTTTGTTGTTAGTGGAATGTAAACCACACTTGGAAATCAATGTGGAAATTCCTCAAAAAACTAAAACTAGGGGCCAGGGATTTAGCTCAGTGGCACAGCATCTGCCCAGCAAGCATGAGGTCCTGAGTTCAATTCCCAGAGCCCTCTCAAAAAAACAAAATTACAAAACAAAACCAAAAACCACTAAACCTAGAGGTTCCATTTGATCTAGCTATTCACCTTCTTGGTATCTTTCCAAAAGAATTAAAGGCATCATACCACAGCAATATATGCAGACCCATGTTTACAGAGGCACAATTTGCAGTTGCTAAATCTTGGACACAAGCCAATTGTCCATCAAACTATGAAGAGAAGATGTGAGGTTTTTAAAAAAATTATGTACAGTGGAGTACTATGCCATAAAGAAGGGTCAACTCAAGCCATTTCTAGGTAAATGGATGCACCTTGAGACCACATGCTTAAGTGAAATAAATCAGACACATGTGTTTAAATATACAAATACTAGGCTATGCTAACAAAGTCCTTCCAGCACCAGACTCTGAAACTCATACTATTATAGACAGTTAAGTTCATAGAAATACAATAGGCTGTCAGACAGATGCATGCTGGATTTGTAGTTAATTTCCACTTCTAGTGCATCTTGGTTACCTGGTGGGTATGACCTTTATAAATGATTGGATAAAACTTCAAAATTTTATAGAACAGCTACAAAGTGCAGCAACAGTTTTAAAGCTTGCACCCAGGTCTGATGTCTCTTAACAATAAATGAGACCCTTCGTCAAAAAGGTCATGGGAAATTTTTTTCTCTAGTCACACTTAATAGCAATTAATGATTAACTAGCATTCTGGTTCCCTGAAACCAGAACTTGGTGGGAAAAAGTCCTGATTTTTCTGGCTATGATACTGGGTACTGGAATGTGTGGTGTGATTTGTTGTTATGGGCTAATGACTCACTGTATGTCTTTGCCCTCTTTTTCAGACTACTGAAAGATGATAATCCTTCAAAAGATGGAAACCAGTAATCCTGTTTCCTTTAGGTCAGTGAGAACCAGACTTTTGGTCCCTGGCTAGGCAGGATCAATGCCTCTCCTCAGCCTGAAGCAATTATTGAAGATGAACCATCAGCCTTCTGAAATCCCTAAGAGTAAGGGACCCCAAGGCCGGGGATTTAGCTCAGTGGTATAAGTGCCTGCTTGACAAATGTGAGGTTGTGAGTTTGATCTCCAATACCAAAAAAAAAAAAAAAAAAAAAGGGTAAGGGACTCAAGGAGGGGAGGGTGAGGTAGGATAGAAGAAATAAAGCTGGGTGGAAAGGAGATGAGGAAATCAAAAATTTTAAAAGTTGTACTTTAATGAAAACTGCAACTTCAGAACACAAGCCTGATTTAATTATTTTTATTTATTATTTATTTATTTCCTTCTCCAAAAATGGCAAACCTGGGGCTGAGAATTTAGCTTCTCTGGCACAGTGCCTGACTGGTAAGTGGAAGGCCCTGAGTTGAGTCCTGATACCAAAAAAAAAAAAAAAAAAAAAAAAGAAAGAAAAAGAAAAAAAAACCCAAACCAAAAAACTAGCAAGCCTGGGGAATTCCCTTTCAGCTGTAAAGGGGCCTGTACTTGCAAATGCTCTGCTTCCACCCTTGAGTGAACTACAGTTTTGGGATTTCCCATAGGGATAGACCATTTTCCTACTAGCGGGACCATCCTCTCCCATTCATTAAGACTGAAGACAAGATTAAAGCTACAGTTATTCCACAGATTCCTACCTCCCAAAACAAACAAAAAAAAGACCCCTAGTTCCCAACTGTAGTGTGCCCTATTTCTTAAATCACCCTCCCCACACCCTTGAGGACACCCTGTATCTACCTCTAATAAATCCTTCTCATATTTTTTTAGAAAAAAAGACTGACATAATGAAATGCCTTATGATGGCAGCCAGTGATGTTCTACAGGAAGCTCAAATGATACTTTTTGTTGTTATTTTTATTTTTAGCTTTAATTTTTTTTGTGTGTGTGTGGTACTGTGAATAGAACTAAGTTTTTTTTTTTTTTTCCTCTTTTCTCCAAACGAGTAACTACAGTATAAATACAGCCATAGGGGTCACTGTTCATAACTCACTTGTAGCTGGGCACAGTGGCACACACTTGTAGTTCAGTTACCCACGAGGCTGAGAGAAAGGACCACCGCTGAAACCTAGGAACTGGAGATCAGATTGAGAGTAAATGAAAAAAAATTTTTTATTTTCTTTTAGTATTGGGAATCGAACTCAGGGCTTTGCTCTTGCAGGCAGGCACTTATGCTGCCGAGCTATATCCCCGGCCCTAAATAAAAAATTTTAAGCATTGTTCTTGTTGCAGGAAAACTGAAAGGGAGACACCTTGCAGCAAGGAGATAAGAAGGCAGCATTTAATGTTTATGCCAGCAGACTGTTGAGGGATAGTTCCTCAAAGGTAACAGCCCTGAGTTTATGGAGAACTTAGTTGATCAAGAATTTAGAAGTGGGATGTACAAAGCAAATGACAAAACACGGCATAACTGGTTACATGTATTGAGTCATATATGACAGACGGGCTAGTCTGGAAAAGATATGTTGAAAGAAAGGAACTGTTCATCACAATACAGAAACATTCTAGGGAAGGTGGTCCTTACAGTGTAAGCATAGTTAAAGGCATTGCCATAATACAGAAACATTGCAGGAAAAAGGGGAGGGGGGCCCTTATAGAGCAAGCAAAGTTAAGGGTGTCCTTGAGGAGCCCAGGGTGCCTTAGGGTACAGACAATTATTCTGATTCAATACTCATCAAAGATACCCAGCTTGACACTGTCAAGGTCAAAATAATTCAGCAGAAGCAGAATAGAAACTCTGTGAGACACCTCTAACTGATCATGAAATACCTGTAAGTTTGCTATTTGATAAATGTGTTCTTCCATTATAAGTGTGCCCTAGCATTCTCTTCTTTTCTTTCTTTTTTTTTTTTTTTTTTTTTTTTGTCTTCTTTTTCATTGGTACTGGGGATCAAACTCACGACTGCCTGCTTGCAAGGCAGGCGCTTATGCCTCTGAGCTAAATCCCCAGCCTCTATGCCCTAGCATTCTTACACAGTGAAATCTTACTCAGCAACAAAAAGGAGCTACTGATACTTACATTCCCAAAAGGATGAGTTATGTTGAATGCAAGAAGACAGACACGAATGAAAGAAAACAGTCCAAGATGAATCAAAACTAATGTAGGAAGAGAGGCTGTAGAGTGGATGCCAGCGGTTGAGAAGCAGGGTGCTGGGGAGAGAGGCACAGGGAGGAAGGGCGGAAAGGATCACCCCGAGCTTCCCTTGGGCGTGTCCCGTCCCTTGCGCGGTGATGGGTGCACAGGTGCGCACACTGAGAAACTAATGGAGCTGCACGGTACAGTACGGCCTGGGCTTTTCACTGAGTGAGCCTTCAGTAAAGAGCCCTGATCACACACCCGTGCGGCACCCACGCGAACTCCCAGGGGGTTTGGCACCAGCTGTTACCCCCGCTGGCCCAATGGGGGAGGTTATGGCCCCAGGCGTTCCGTTTCCTTCCGCGCCAATCCAACTTCCGCGCGCCCCCAGGGGCAAGGACGAAGCGCGGGTCAGCGGGTCTCTGCTTCTTCCCGCCGCCGGCTGGGGACGAGCGCGCCCCGCCCCGGCCCCGCCCCGGCCCACCCTCCGCATAGGGCCCTGGTCCCGGGCCGAGGCGGCCGGCGGGCTGGGCCGCGATGTCGCTCGGAGCGGGGCTCGTCCGCACGACGTGCAGCACCGGCGGCGCGCCAGGACCCGGGGCCGGCGCGGGGCAGCCCTCGGAGGGGCTGCTGGACCCCGTCTACCCGCGCACCCAGGGGGCGCTTCTGAAAGTGGCGCAGATGGTAAGAGAGGGCGGGGTCGCGGGCCGGGGTCCTGGGGAGCTCGCGCCCCCGAGCGGACGGGAGGGACGGGCGGGCACGCTGCGCGGGAGCCAGGCGACCTCCCCGAAGTTGTGGGCACAGAGCCTCCGCCCGCCCCGGGCCTCGCCGCCTCCCACCCGCCCGCTAGGGCTCCCAGTGTCTCCTGCACCCCTTTGAGGATCCTCGGCTGCCGCCTGACCGGAACCGTGGGCACAGGTTTCTTTCCGCCTTCCTGCCTCTTTGGCCCGCGTCACCTCGAACCCGAGGGTGTGGAGGCAGCAAAACCCGCCCTCCGGCCGGCGCCGCACGGCCTCTGGGCTCGGAGCGCAGATGCCCGAGAAAGGCAATCGCAGGGTCCTGCCTTCCGTTTCCCCCGCGGCTGTGCGCGGGGAGCCTCGGAACCTCGGAGACGGCGATCCTGGTCCGCCCCAAAAGGCAACGATCGTTTGAGAAAGGCCTGTTTAGAGGAGCTCGTACTAGTTGGGGAGCCCTTGTGAATGGGGGTCATCGGGACTATGTGAAGGTGCAGCTGTTAGTGTGACCAGCGCGACAAAGCGCGGCCAGGCCGGACACAATTTGTTCGTTACTTCCCTAAACTTTTCTGCCTCCCAGGTTGTAGTTCTTTGGAAATGTTTTAAAACCCTTTTTCGTTGGTGTGTTTCTAAACGGGGTTGGCTGTTTGTGACTCTCCACACACTGCAATGTTTGCAGCCAGAACCGTGCAAGGGGGGAGTGTAGGTTTGCAGGGAGATGGGAGGGTGCTGTTGCGGGGGGGGGGGGGCGCAAGGTGACAGACCTGAAATGTGGGACTTGCTAAGGTGGTGCAGTTCCTGATGCTGGGGTTGAGAGTGGCTCTCCCACCTTTATTCCAGATACTGAGTGTGTTGGAAGGTGGCTGTGAGTGCAGCTTGAGCCAGCCCTGAAGAGGATATGTACTTCCCTCTTCTGTGAACGAAAGTGTCTTGATGGACATAAAACTAGGAAATAGAGGCGGTTTAGCAATGGACCTTTTAAACCTCCATTGCAAACCACTTCCTTGGGTTTGAAGTTGGAGGGTGTTTTGTTTTGTGGGCCAAACGGCTAAGCAAGTATTTTACAGAAATAAAGACAAATGAATATCAAACCAGGTGGAGTTAAATCACAGGCCATGCAGCTGTCCTAAGTCTCACTATTATAATCACCCTGCTTCACCCCCACGGGGCCTGGTCAGACTAGCCTGAAGGAAACTGCCTGGCATTGCATTGGAAAGCTGTGAGAATCCCCTGGTTTAGGTTTAAGCAGAGTGCCCAGGAAAGCAGCAGCCACATAGAGTTCAAGGTAGAGTTTGTTTGAGGAAGGGCAGAAATAACTTCATGAGATGTACACAGCTAAACAGCAGACAGCCTGTCTCCCCTATCTGCTGGAGTTGAGGCAGAGCCCGCTTGAGTTTTGGGAGTGATGACTTTGGTGGGTGTGGATGGGGATCAGAAGCCTGCATCTTTGACTGTGGTTCTTTTGGTGGACAAAGGTATCGGGAGATGAAAAGTCTCCTTGTTGAGCTATGACTTGGTATACAAAGGTAATGGAGATGGGAAACCTTCCTGTTGGTACCTGAGTGTGTGGAACAAAGGGTATGTGAAACCTCCCTCTCATGTTAAGTTCCTCAGCTGGCCTGCTGCCTTTGTGCCAGGTTGCAGGTGACAGTGATGAGTCCTATTGAACTGTCACATTATCTGGCTTCTTCACAGTGCTCTCCTCTTAAAACCAGGCCAGGGTTATGCCTTCCCTACTGAATGCCAGGTAGCTGCAGACAGTTTGGTCAGACCGTGGGAGAGAGAAACCGGTCTTGCCAGGTGAGCGTATTGTGACATGGAGACCACTTAGGACAGTCTGCCGGGGTCCCCTTGTCTAACACCCTCTTGTCTCTTTTCCTCCTGGTCTTTTTCATGCGTGAAGGCTTCCTTTCTTTCATTTTCCTTATTAGGCCTGAGGCACAGTCTTAGTTCTTGACTTGAGGAATTTTTTTTTAAAAAACCCCAAAACGGTATTCATTGAGCTCTACTATTATTCCTGGTCATGTGCACAAAATTGCATACTATATGCAGTGTAGGTATCACCTCACTAAATGTTTTAAAGAATCCAGTGCAGTCACTTTTTTTTTTTTTTGTCTTTTTGAGACAGAGTCTCACTATGCAGTTCGGGCAGGCCTTGAGCTCACTTTGTGGCCCAGGCTGGTCTCGAACTCGCAACCATCCTCCTGCCTCAGCCTCCCGAGTGCTGGGATTACTGGCATGAGCCATCATGCCCAGCTAGCAGTCACTTCTTTAACCAGTGAGAAAGGGACTGAGAGGGTGAGAGCTACCAAAGCCACACAGCTGTCAACAGTAGCAGGGCCGCGCAGGCCTATGGCCTGGTCATCCCAGAACACATTTCTGCAGCAGAGTTGTTACTTACAGACAGATCCAGGGAAATCAAAGCCTAGTGAGATAACTTCACATCCACAAAGATGACAGTAATAAAAAAAGACAGATAATTCCAAGCGGCAGGATATGCAAGGTATGAAGAATTGGAATTCTGGGACATTGCTGATGGAAATGTAAATGGTCAGCTACTTTGGGAGCGGCAGTCTATGATGACACAGAAGACACCAGGCATCTCAGCAGCTGTCTGCAAAAAGGCTTATATTTGAATGTATTCATGATAGCCTTATTTGTCATAGCCAGAAAGTAGAAATAACACATGTTCAGCAAATGACTAATGAATAAATGTCAACTAAAAAGTGACACATTCCTACAGCAAAACATTATACAGCCAAAAAAAAGAAGGAAGTATGCGGCCGTATGGATGAGCCTCAAAAACCTGTTCCATGAAGAAAACCAGTCATAAAGACATCACAGTGTATGATTCTACTTATATTAAATATCGAAAATATGCAAATTTTTAGACCCAGAAAATAAATTAGTGGTTGCTTAGGGATGAGGGTGGTGGTAGTCAAGGAAATGGAAAGTGACTGTCAATGAGTTTTTTTTTAAATGTTAAAAAAATTGATTGTGGCGATGGTTTCACTACTGTTAATATACTAAAAACCACTGAACGCTGTACTTCAAGTGGCTGTATAATATATGAATTGTAGCCCAGTTAACTATTGTAAAGAAATAGATATAGAGAAGACACTGAGAGCGCAAGATGCTTAGCACTACAGCCATGGGATACGAGGGGGCATAGTCCAGGAAATCTCCTTCAGTGTCACCACTACCCCTGCCACCAGCCTGGAGCATCCTGGCCGCCAGGTCTCCTAGCATCACCAGGGTGTCTGAGGGCCCCCGGGTCTGAGAGTCCAGACAGCCTTGTTGGAATAATGAGGAAGCCCAGGACAGCTTCTCAGGGTTCCTTGTCCTCTTGTTCATTTAGCAGTTTCAAGGACCACGTTCATTTCTACTGCTGCAGTAACAGGTGGCTGCAGTAAAACTGCTCTCAAGTCTGTGGTTGTGCTGAGATGACACACCAGTTCCAAAAGTGGCTGGCCAGGAAGACTAAAGTTCTAAAAGTTGGCCACGTTAGAGAAGAGGGGCCGAAGTGAATCCTGACGGATGAGCGTGAGTTTGTTGGGTAGAGAGTTCCTGTTACACTTCTTACTGCCTCTGCTCAGTATGTTTAATTTGGAGATAAGCGATATGTTGATGGTGGTGGGAAGGAGAGAAATGTAGCAAGAAATAAACCATTATGGGGGTAGTTCTTTTGAGGTTGAGGTTGTCTCTGTGCAGTCCAGGCTGGCCTTGAACTCACTATGTAACCCAGATTGGCCTCAAATTCAAGGTCCCATTCATCTTGAGTGTTGGCTCTCTTGGAATTCAGCCTTGGACTCACATTGATTGCTCCCTATATATTTTGGTACTGCAGATCAAACTCATGACCTCACACTTGCCAGGCAGGCACGTATGCCACTGACCTAAATCCTTGGCCCTGTCTCTTCTATATTTAATCCTATGAATTCTGTTTATCTAGGAAATTCTAATATAAAAGGTAATATGGCTAAAAGAAAATTCGAGGTCCTCCTTCCTAGCCTCCTGAGTGCTAGAATTACAGATATGTCACCATGCCCTGCTCTTTTCTTTGACACAATAATTATATATATTTATAGGACTGTAGATGTACACTGTATGTGATGAGCAAATCAGTCATTAGCACATCAGTCACCTCAGATATTTAACACTTATCTTTCCCATTCATCTTTGGGAATTCTTAATCTTCCCCACCCAGATATTTAGAAATTGGTTTCATCCTCTACTGTGCGTGGTGGTGGTGGGTAGTACTGGGGGTTGAACCCAGGGCTTTTGCACTGAGCCAGCCCTCTTCTTATTTTTTGTGATAGCTCCTGTGCAATCAGGGTTTTATTCATAAAGTCTTTTAAGCTTCACCTCTTAACATCCAGCCTAAGAGGTTCATTTCCTACCACCACACTGTGTCAACTTCTATGGGGACAAACAGCATCCAAAGCATAGCACAAACCAAACCAGAGCTCCGTCGCTAGAAACATCTTAAATGAAACACACAAAGGCGGAGTACTCTGGGTCATGCTGAAGTTCTACACTCGTAGGTTTACTCATGGCGAGCCTAGTGGCTGGGATCCTCCACTGTCTAATGATTTATTTGACATCTGAGGTGTAAATTCCCAAAGTGAAGCTCAACTTTAAACACCCAATTCAAAAATGGGCATCTGAGATGAATACACACTACTGAGATGAAGAAATGCAAACAACAAATAAATATATGCAAAAATGTTCAACATTACTGGTCATTTGAGAGATGCAAATTGAAGCAGCACTAAGATTTCACTTCACCCTGGAAAAAAATGGCTGTTATCAAGAAATAAACCAGTAACAATGCTGGAGGGGATGTGGGGAAACAGGAATGCTTCTCCACTGTTGGTGGGCAGACTGGTGCAACTACTCTGGAAATGAGTGTGGAGATTCCTCAAAAAACTAGGTTTGGAGGTCCCATTT